AAAAATATATATATATATATATATATATATATATATATAGCCTATTATTTGGAAAATTTACAAAAAATGACAAAAGCACTAAACAAACTAAAACTTAAATTGAAATGAAACCTGACAATATCAAATACTATCTAATTCAAAATGTTTATAAATATTTTAATAGTATAGAAATAATACTAAAAATAAAATTACATTTGATTAATATTTCTAAGTTATGAACATTTTTTTATTTCTGAATGTTCTCTGAACGTTTAAATTGTAAATGTTTTAAAATTATTTTTGGTCGCACAAACATTAAGGGAACATTCCATTGTATCATTTGGCAAACATTACAGGAACGTTACTTTTGAATGTTCTCTGAACGTTCTGAAACAAGTAGCGGCTAACATTTAAAAGACAAACAAACCGTTTCAGAAATACAATCCATGAACAATGTAGGCTATGTGCTAACATTTTGAGAACATTATAAAAATGTTTGTTCGTAACTTTGAGAGAACCGTTCTGAGAATGTTACTTGCTAGCTTTGTATGACCAGCTGGTGCAAGATGATCTATTAGACTACTAGCTACTGTCCTAATAAATAATTCTTTTTATTGGTTTAAATAAAACTTCCACACAACTAGAGAAAGGTCCGTTTGTTAGTAGCTAATAACGAGCAGCTGTGATGCGGTTGTTTCGCCAGCAGGTGGCGCTCGCGCTTCTAAAGCTGAACTAAAGCTCTCTGTGAGAGTGTGTGATGTGAAGCCCAGAAACTGTGTTTGTGTTTGGTACAGACTCTGCCCTGCCATCTGGATCGCATTTCAGACCCCAGGAACCGAATATGTGCGGTTAAAGTGAGTCACGGCACGCGTTACGAAACACTCCCAGAATGCTGAGCGCCGCAAACGCGCGGGAAACACAGCTAGGTCATTAAAGCTGAATTTTCCTCTGTTGAATGTGACTGTACAGACAGACATGTGTTGAGGAAAGGCCTAAACATCACTTTTTCCAGCTCAGGGAACCTTTAGAAGAACAGTTCAGTGCCAGGCATGTTTAGAATCATAACGGGAATGGACTGTTACATTTACATATAGTGTGGGAATATGCAAATATTTTTGCATAGACACATTTATGTGGCCCTATATAAATAAATAACAGCATAAAAAATTTAAAATGGCCAAAATAACAAACACAAAGACACGTACAAGATAAAATACAATCAAAAAAAAAAAAAACATTCTAAAATTTGTAATACATTACCAATGCTCGGATGCGCAATTGAAGATCCACCAATCCATTTATGAAAATTAAACATGGTTTTATTATAGTAATCGTGTAGTAACCATGTTTTGTTTTTTTTTGGTGGATTGATTAACATTTGTGTAGCCTAACCACAGTTTTACTACAAATATCATGGTTAAACTGTGGTTAATTTGTGGTTACCATAGTGACCATGGTTAGTAGTAGTATTTGTAGTAAAACCATGGTTAATTTTCGTAAGGGTTTTCTTGCTATGATGTTATCATGACTCATTCATCCCTGTAAAACTCTATTAGCTGTCTAAGACCAGGCTGAGTTACTAGTTTTGTTGCAAATACATTTGTTGGACCTTCATCCATGTGTAGTTTTTTTTTATATTTAGGCTATATATATTCCTCTTGTACGTATAATGCAAGTAACCATTGGAAAGCAATGACCCAAAAACTTCCATAACTCTATTGAACATTAACCTGTCTATCAGTCCATAAAAACATCAAGTCAAAGTAAGTTCCCACAGACTCAGAGATTCTTTTCATTTGTTCCCTGCTCATTAAAGCATTTAGATTCTGTGGGGTCGACGCAAAGTCTAACCGTGGGTGTGGAGGCATTGCATACATTAATAATTCAGTGTGTGTGTGTGTGTGTGTGTGTGTGTGTGGTGTGGG